AGCATGCCGTAGCATGCCGACAAGTAAGCTGCAAAGTTCAAGGTCGGCTTTCTTCAGATTGCCCAGGGGCGACACCGGCTCCGCCACCGCTGCCTCCGAACAGCGATCCTCCTCCTCCTCCTCGGGCTGATTCACAGCGTCTGCTACAGCGACGGCTCGCACATGACCAAATGACAAAACTGCACGTAGCTTTCTGAACAAGTGAGCCAGTTTCAACTCATGTGATCGGACTTACAAGACCATGATACAAGCAGACCATAGGCCCTGATAATGGCAAGTTTAACTGGATGCATGGTGGTGTCAGCAGCTGGACTGCTAGAAGCTTCACGGCACGCCTGTTGCTGGCGCACTGCCGAACAGGCTTCCGCCAGACGACCTCACTCTGTCACTCTCTGTATCTCTCTCTCCCCCTCCCTCTCCCTGAGCTGCAGAAAAACCTCTGAATTGACATGCAGCATCATGCAGCTGATCCTATCACGGCATACCGGCAGCCCCCCCTCTCAGGCAACTACGCAGCAGCGCCGCCTGGCACCGGCAACCCGTTCGGCAAGGCCAGTGCCACAAAGCGACGACCATGAGCACACATGAGCGAGACCCCTCCAACCAGCCAGTCAGCAGGCGCATTGCGAATCGGGGTCCCGGATATCTGGAACTTGAAGATGTGGTCAAGACCCTACGCCCTGTATGATCTCTGCAAGTATTCGATTCGTGCTCTGACCAGAACTTGTGCTAGGACGTCGCATGGCAGATTCGGGAGTCTTCAAGCCGCTTGCACATGCCAGGTCGACTGGAGGCACCGGAACCAAAGAGGCTCGCACCTCAAGACAAGCATGCCGTAGCATGCCGACAAGTAAGCTGCAAAGTTCAAGGTCGGCTTTCTTCAGATTGCCCAGGGGCGACACCGGCTCCGCCACCGCTGCCTCCGAACAGCGATCCTCCTCCTCCTCCTCGGGCTGATTCACAGCGTCTGCTACAGCGACGGCTCGCACATGACCAAATGACAAAACTGCACGTAGCTTTCTGAACAAGTGAGCCAGTTTCAACTCATGTGATCTGACCTACAAGACCATGATACAAGCAGACCATAGGCCCTGATAATGGCAAGTTTAACTGGATGCATGGTGGTGTCAGCAGCTGGACTGCGAGAAGCTCTCACGGCACGCCTGTTGCTGGCGCACTGCCGAACAGGCTTCCGCCAGACGACCTCACTCTGTCACTCTCTCTATCTCTCTCTCCCCCTCCCTCTCCCTGAGCTGCAGAAAAACCTCTGAATTGACATGCAGCATCATGCAGCTGATCCTATCACGGCATACCGGCAGCCCCCCCTCTCAGGCAACTACGCAGCAGCGCCGCCTGGCACCGGCAACCCGTTCGGCAAGGCCAGTGCCACAAAGCGACGACCATGAGCACACATGAGCGAGACCCCTCCAACCAGCCAGTCAGCATTGCGAATCGGGGTCCCGGATATCTGGAACTTGAAGATGTGGTCAAGACCCTACGCCCTGTATGATCTCTGCAAGTATTCGATTCGTGCTGACCAGAACTTGTGCTAGGACGTCGCATGGCAGATTCGGGAGTCTTCAAGCCGCTTGCACATGCCAGGTCGACTGGAGGCACCGGAACCAAAGAGGCTCGCACCTCAAGACAAGCATGCCGTAGCATGCCGACAAGTAAGCTGCAAAGTTCAAGGTCGGCTTTCTGCAGATTGCCCAGGGGCGACACCGGCTCCGCCACCGCTGCCTCCGAACAGCGATCCTCCTCCTCCTCGGGCTGATTCACAGCGTCTGCTACAGCGACGGCTCGCACATGACCAAATGACAAAACTGCACGTAGCTTTCTGAACAAGTGAGCCAGTTTCAACTCATGTGATCTGACTTACAAGACCATGATACAAGCAGACCATAGGCCCTGATAATGGCAAGTTTAACTGGATGCATGGTGGTGTCAGCAGCTGGACTGCGAGAAGCTCTCACGGCACGCCTGTTGCTGGCGCACTGCCGAACAGGCTTCCGCCAGACGACCTCACTCTGTCACTCTCTGTATCTCTCTCTCCCCCTCCCTCCCTGAGCTGCAGAAAAACCTCTAAATTGACATGCAGCATCATGCAGCTGATCCTATCACGGCATCCCGGCAGCCCCCCCTCTTAGGCAACTACGCAGCAGCACCGCCTGGCACCGGCAACCCGTTCGGCAAGGCCGCATGAGCGAAACCCCTCCAACCAGCCAGTCGCATTACCAATCGGGGTCCCGGATATCTGGAACTCGAAGATGTGGTCAAGATCCGAAACCCTAATCCCTTTTCAAGCAACTTGCACATGCCAGGTCGACTGGAGGCACTGGAGCCAAAGAGGCTGGAACCTAGTGTTCAGACTGGTGTGCTCCATTTGCTTTACGGACGAACTTGAAACTGGCTGTTGGCTCGGTGGCGTACCGCCGCTGCTACTGCTTCCTCCGAATATCGATCCACCTCCTTGCGCTGCAATGCTGCTACTGCTTCCTCCGAATATCGATCCACCTCCTTGCGCTGCAATGCAGTAAAAGGCCGAGGTTACTCAACGTTCCCTATTCACTTCGAACTGAACATTTGAATCGCTCTCTCTGAATTCCTTCGTCTCTGAATGAAGCTCCAATGCAAGCCGTGACCCATCACACCCCCCGGTCCTATGGCAGGTGAACCGCCGAAAAGGCTTCCGCCAGCAGACCTGAGTGCAAGATCGCCCTTTCTTCCGCATGGTGCAAAGTTTACCTGGACGGCCCTGGGTCTTCCGCCCACCACCCGCTGGCGGAGCACCGCCAGGGGTACTGGATGTGCTAGAGCCGAAGATGCTTGCACCTCCGCAGGAGGTCGGCTTCACTGAACTTGGCACAAGAAGGTAAGCAATGTGGCAATGAATGGCACATGTAGCAGCTCATCACTTGGCTGGGCCCCCCGCCGCCGCAGCTGCTGCTTCCTCCAAACAGCGAACCACCTCTGCACAAAATGGCACGGTCGTTTCAGTATGGAGTGGGCTCAGATACAAGTCCGTAAGTCACCCTCGGCGAGCACTGAGAATTCACTCAAGAGGCTCCGCCAAATCTCAACATCCACAACAATCGGGGCCTGTGGCTGCACCACCGAACAAGCCGCCGCCTCCAGAACCACCGAACAAGCCGCCCGCGCCTGACCTCTGGTCTTATTCATGGCAGAGAACCGAAACCAAGAAAAACAATTATCAGACAGACGCCAGAAAGCTGTCGGCCGTGCATCTGGCAAAGCAGGTGGGAACCCACAGCTGTGTGAACCGAGGCTGTGAAACATCTTGGGGCAAGACCCAGCGCCAGCGAGCCCTGGATCACGCAGCAAGAATTGCAATTGACATCTGCACTGGCCTTCACATTTTACGGATGAGATCCTTCGAGCCGCAGATGCCCATTCTTCAACACTTGACTGACAAACAACAGCTCCATAACAAGACCCTCGTATGACGCGCTAACCGCGCTAACCGTGCTAACCGTGCTCCTCGGCTACCAGCATGACATATCTGGGATCACAACCGCCACTTCCGCTGCTGGCACCAAACGGTGAACCACCTTTAGGCATGCTGAAACAAAAATCAGCACCAAATTGCAAGCTCCGCAAGTCCCCTCGTAGAGGCATTTGGTGCGTTCACCAGAAAGGCTTGATCCTGTAACAGCAAACCCGCACCTGTTCCTGCACCGAACAGTGACATTGCCGGATCCAAGGAATGTCTGTCGGACGACTACGGCTGCTATGACTAAACTATGGTCGCTACGATCTGCTATGGCTTTCTCACCGCGTCCATGCGGGCAAGTATGTTTGTTCCAACTTTGTGATCAGACCGGAATCAGACCTGCATTGGACCTGGTCATGCTGCACTAAGCAATAAGATGCTTTTTCGTGAAGAATGCAATCTGTTACATTCAACAATACGGGGAAGAATCATGACATAGTGCGGCTACAATAGCTGAAGGGCCGTGTTGTCGTGTGTTGATATGCCGAGAAAACAGGCAGAAGCAATGGCCATGACAATGCAGTGTTGACACAACCGAAGCCCAGTCGTCAGTCAGTCTCGCAGAAACTATGGGTCTGCAGCTGCAGAAGTCTGCACTGAGAAAGACAGAAGTGGTTCCATCTTGCATGTTTAGTAGAATGACTGTGTTTGAATGCTGGCACTGATGTAGTTCGAGCTGCGCCGTGAACTCTGCTTCACTGCAGCATATGCCATGCGGCCAAGACCGACCTACTGACTGCATGGCTTGTAGCCGCTTATGCCCGTGACGAAACAGGATGGAAAGCCGTGCTGCACCTGGAAACGCTGGAAACGCCCGGTTGAAAGAACACATACAACACGAGGCGATCTCAGAGAACTGGCGTGGCGAGGTGATCACATCCAGGCCCACACTCCACCTTTTAGAAACTTTAGAACTTTAGAAGCGAAGGTGAAGAAAGAATGAACAACATGCTTGTCGATTCGCACTTGCTGAGCCCGGCGGATTTCTTTTTGTTTCGGCGCAAAGCGGCGCGCAAGCAATCGAAAACTCAGCCGGGAATGCCGCCCGCGTACTCAAGCTCCAGCACCTTCCAACATGGTCCGCAGCTCCTCCTCTACCATCCTCTACAAACGTGGCGAGCTCGCGGCACACGTGCAACAAAGCCGACCGGCCTGCCATGCGCCTGCCCACCGAGAGCCCGTACATGTTGTACCCAGCCTTCCGGACTGCTCCAGTTGTGGAGTTCACGCTCGAGTGCGCACGGCGCGTCTCCGGCCTGCTTCTGCAGATCCACATGTCCCTCACGAATGACCTGCACATGGGCACGAGCCGTAGAGTGCAGCATCAACATCGTGAGCACTAGCCATGTGGGATCTGATCTGGACACAACATGGCACAGCTGACCTGAAGTCCTCTGAGTCACCGGCACCTCCAAGATCAAGAATCTACAAGGATCAGGGCCCCCCACTGGCAAGTGGCACTGCTCCCATCCGCGGAATCCACCATCCATCACGGCCACTCGCCTGTGGCCGCTGCTCTCACAGGCTGCCAAGAATGGCCGCAAGGCATGAACACGCTACGTTGCATCGACACTCCGAATGACTGCAGGAACATGCCATGACTGCCACGACATGCCTCATGGCACAGGCCCGTCCGGATCCTTTCAGGCCCCGGCTGCTTCAGGTCCGCCTGCTTGCGGTACCAATTTGCGCACCTTGCAGCGAAGGCGAGTAGAGATATGCAGAGATGCTCGAGGCGAACGACGATCTTGCAAGCTGACGACATGCCGCGAAACGCCCCATTCATCTCGGCTTCCGGCTGAGGGCCGCGGTGCAAGGAGTACAGGCAATGGAAGACCTCAGCTCACTGAGCAAGCTGAGTATGGCTGAGTGATGGCTGGCTTTTCGCGCTAAAGAGGCTCTGCTTTCGTGCGGGGCTCCCGGCCACGAGCGTGTCCGCCTGATACTTCCTCACCAGGTCGGGGACCTCGAGGTCAACGTAGGATGACATGGCAAGATGCATCAAAGCGCGCCAGATCCGCTAGCGCGGCTACCCGGCCCGATTCAGCAAAGGATCCTTGAAGCTGGTGGGCTCATGGATGGCCCCCTGCCGAGCATCGCACGCAGCACCCACCAGCACCCACCAGCACCCACGAGCACCCACCAGCACCCAGCAGCACCCGGCACCCAGCAGCACCCAGCACCCACCCGCCGACCTCGATGCAGCCAGCTGCGCGATCAGCATCGCGAACATCGAGGAGCACGCACCTCAAGGGAAGGCTGAGAGAAAACTTGAGGAGACAAAAGTCGGAGCTAGCAGGGGGCATCGATCGGGATATCTTGATCGTGCGGACGCTTCACCGCTACACCATCGGGAGGCGGGCTTCTTGGCAGACATGAGCTCGAAGACCTGCCGGGACGCCATCCCCTCAATCGAGATTACATTTGCACCTATGCGACCTGCAGAACTGATGGGAATTAGGCCCATTAGGCACGCACTTTGTCTTGCGACTTGTGGGGTCTTCGGTTTGAGGGCAGTATGTCGGGCGGTGCGATGTCTGTGCGCATGGGCGCGAGCGCCTCCGCTGGAGTGAGCTTCTCGACGCCCTGGCAAACTGCCACCACAGAAGATGCCAACTGCTGATGCTGCTGCCAGTAACTGCTTGAAGTATCAGTAGCATGAGTCGTGACATTGCCACTGAGATGGACTGCACCACTCAACCTCAGACCCGATTTGAACGCCACCCCCGTGTAGATTCATCAGGCAGAGCCGCAGAGCCCTGAATGTCCTTCTCCAACGGTACGGCGAAGTCCGGCCCCACCAGCGCGGTGGCAGCCATGGGCCTGTGCCACCAGCAGCGTATTGCAGTGTCTGGCAGCGTCGGCCTACATCAGACTACTGTCAGCTGCGCTGCTCAGGACTCAGGACATCTCCCAACACCCACCAAACTCAGAATGTCAACGGTGTCTCTTCGTGACAGTCATAAACTCAGAGTGTCTAATCGTGACGCTGTCCGGATATCCCCACGTGTCCACCTGGGTGGGTGCACGACGGTCTTCGTCGCGCTGGCTACTGGAGCGAAGGACCTGCTGAAGCAAAAACTTTCCAGAGCATGACAAAGGCAGGCTTTGCAAACCCACGCGGGCCTTGCGGCGGGGCCCGGCTTCTGCAAGGGCACCGTGGCCTGAGATTCCGCAGGTGATTGCGAAGCTTGCCCTCAATGCCAAAATGCCAAAAAAATTCTGCACACGTTTCATGAAATGCCCGGATCCGCGCCAGCTTGGCTGGCAGCTTGGGCTGCATCCACAGCATGTTGCCCTGAAATGCAGGGGCAAGGGCCGTGGTGGTCACAACACACGAGGGCTCAGGAGCGTGCACAGCACAGGCATGTAACATGGAACAAGCTTTTTGAGCACGCTCGTCGATCTCACCAAGGTCGAAGCTGGAGGAGCCACGGGCACGAACAAGCGCGGGTCCTCCGTCGCACGTGTGACAGGCCGCAACCTTCACCCTCCTTGCCCTCGATATGTGGGTGTCCTTAAGTGGCACGGAGACGGGCGCGGCGGCAGCCATCAGCCTGCACTGTCAGTGTCATCAACTGTCAAGCTGCTTCAGGCTTCTCGATCGTGCCTCGTGGGAAACCGATCCATGCTTTGATCAAAAACAACAAATGTCAATCGTGTCTCGCGTGACGATTCCGGGACATCGACCTGGGTGCATGCACGACGGTCTTCGTCGCGGGCATGGCAGCCTCATGTGTCATTGATTGGCACATTGCCCTGGCATCGCTGCGCAGCTGACAGGTTTACAGCACAGTCCAAGGCAATAAAAAGCAAAAACTCGCAGATCACGCAAAACAAGTGTCTGTGTCGGGGCCACGCCGCCTTCATCGCAACGGGAGCGAAGGACCTGCTGTGTTCAAGAGCACGATAGATGAAGTCTGTGCTCAGATCGAGCACTAGACCCCAAGCCCCGCAACGCTTCTGGCACAGTCTAACCGTGTCTAACCACCTAAAGGTTTTCCAAGGCCAACGTGCACCATGCGCCACGACTGCGGGCCTTGCAAAGGGGGCCGGCTGCTGCAAGGGCACATTGGCCTCAGACTCCGTCGGCCGTGGGAACTACCGACTACGAAAAGATGAACTCCGAACACCGCATTGGCAGCTCGGTCTGGCGCCCACAGCACCTTCCGCTGACACGTGTACGCCTGAGGAATGTAAAGCCACAGGACTGAGAAGAAAACTCATGGGGCACGCAGCACACTCTTCGATCTCACCGAGGCCGAAACTGGAAGAGCCATGACTGGTAGCCCAACCGCAAACACACCCTACGTTTGCAAAACAAATGAAAGCCTCTCGTGTAATGAGCCCTGCTGCATTGCGCTGCTGAGGACGACTCTTGGGAAGTGCCTATTTATGTGTGATGAAGCTGTGCTCGCATGCGTTTGTCCATCCAAGCCTTAAGCCTACGGGTCGACTGTGCTCCTCGTTGTACAGGCCAGTCGTCGAGCTGAAACTATGGGCCCTCAACCCTAAACCCTAGACCTGAAACCCTCTCATTCATATATATATATATATATATATGTATTTCGAAGGTGGGGTGGGTGAAAACAAAAAACATGAGGTTCACAAAATTGTATAGATAAAATTCTGCTTTTTTTGTCAATTCGGACCAATGTCTACTTGGTTCTAGGGTGGGTTGGGGATTGGTTCGAAGTAGCGAAAAGAGGCAAGCACTCGAACAGCAGTCAGAAGCAAACTCATGCGGTTGTATGAGGACGCCACCCGCCACTCTGTCACGGAGCGTTTCGGGCCGGTTGGTGCGCCACTTTGTTACGGAGTGTTTCGGGCCTGTTGGGAAAACAAAAAAAACATGAGGTTAACAAAATTGAGTTTGTTCTTTTTGCTCTTGTGTGCCCGAAACAAGATAACAAAACTAGGTTTGTTTTGGCTGTTCGTGCCCGGTACGAGGGTGGGGTGGCGGAAAACGAGGAGCACGAGGCTAACAAATTAGGTGCATTTTTGTTGGCTGTTCGTACTCGAAAACTCCAGAGTGAGTTTGCTTTCTTGGTTCACCCTGCCCCCCCCCCTTTCTTGTTTTGACGAGGTTGCTTTGGAATTGGTGCCCCGGTGACCGCGCCTCCCGTGGGTGGGATGGACCGCTCCGTGACAGAGTGAGGTTGGGGGACAGGGCTTGCTGATGAAAAGCATATTTCTTAGTGTTTTGGGATTCTCTGGGTGGGTGGGGCGACTCTACCAGAGATTGCTCGATACGGAGCTGCTGAACCCTAAACCCTAAACCCTAAACCCTAAACCGCAAACCGCGGCAGCTGCGCAGGGTCAGAGAGAAGCCTGCTTACCGATTCGGACTTGCTGAGCCCGGCGGGCTTTTTTTCGGCGCCAAGCGGCGCGCAAGCAATCGAAAACTCAGCCACTGCCGCCCGCGTACTCAAGCTCCAGCACCTTCCAACATGGTCCGCAGTTCCTCCTCTACCATCCTATACAGAAGTGGCAAGCTCGCGGCACACGTGCAACAAGCCCACCGGCCTGCCATGCGCCTGCCCACCGAGAGCCCGTACATGTTGTACCCAGCCTTCCGGACTGCTCCAGTTGTGGAGTTCACGCTCGAATGCTCACGGCGCGTCTCCAGCCTGCTTCTGCAGATCCACGTGTCCCTCACGAATGACCTGCACATGGGCACGAGCCGTAGAGTGCAGCATCAACATCGTGAGCACTAGCCATGTGGGATCTGATCTGGACACAACATGGCACAGCTGACCTGAAGTCCTCTGAGTCACCTGCACCTACAAGATCAAGAATCTACAAGGATCAGGGCCCCCCACTGGCAAGTGGCACTGCTCCCATCCGCGGAATCCACCATCCATCACGGCCACTCGCCTGTGGCCGCTGCTCTCACAGGCTGCCAAGAATGGCCGCAAGGCATGAACACGCTACGTTGCATCGACACTCCGAATGACTGCAGGAACATGCCATGACTGCCACGACATGCCTCATGGCACAGGCCCGTCCGGATCCCTTCAGGCCCCGGCTGCTTCAGGTCCGCCTGCTTGCGGTACCAATTTGCGCACCTTGCAGCGAAGGCGAGTAGAGATATGCAGAGATGCTCGAGGCGAACGACGATCTTGCAAGCTGACGACATGCCGCGAAACGCCCCATTCATCTCGGCTTCCGGCTGAGGGCCGCGGTGCAAGGAGTACAGGCAATGGAAGACCTCAGCTCACTGAGCAAGCTGAGTATGGCTGAGTGATGGCTGGCTTTTCGCGCTAAAGAGGCTCTGCTTTCGTGCGGGGCTCCCGGCCACGAGCGTGTCCGCCTGATACTTCCTCACCAGGTCGGGGACCTCGAGGTCAACGTAGGATGACATGGCAAGACGCATCAAAGCGCGCCAGATCCGCTAGCTCGGCTACCCGGCCCGATTCAGCAAAGGATCCTTGAAGCTGGTGGGCTCATGGATGGCCCCCTGCCGAGCATCGCACGCAGCACCCACCAGCACCCACCAGCACCCACCAGCACCCACCAGCACCCACCAGCACCCAGCAGCACCCGGCACCCACCCGCCGACCTCGATGCAGCCAGCTGCGCGATCAACGTCGCGAACATCGAGGAGCACGCACCTCAAGGGAAGGCTGAGAGAAAACTTGAGGAGACAAAAGTCGGAGCTAGCAGGGGGCATCGATCGGGATATCTTGATCGTGCGGACGCTTCACCGCTACAACATCGGGAGGCGGGCTTCTTGGCAGACATGAGCTCGAAGACCTTCCGGGATGCCATCCCCTCAATCGAGAATGCATGTGCACCTGTACGACCTGCAGAACTGATGGGGATTAGGCACGCGCTTTGTCTTGCTGCGAGTTGTGAGGTCTTCGGTTTGAGGGCATTATTCGGGCGGTGTGATGTCTGTGCGCATGGGCGCGAGCGCCTCCGCTGGAGTGAGCTTCTCGACGCCCTGGCAAACTGCCACCACAGAAGCTGCCAACTGCTGATGCTGCTGCCAGTAACTTCTTGAAGTATCAGTAGCATGAGCCGTGACATTGCCACTGAGATGGACTGCACCACTCAACCTCAGACCCGATTTGAACGCCACCCCCGTGTAGATTCATCAGGCAGAGCCGCAGAGCCCTGAATGTCCTTCTCCAACGGTACGGCGAAGTCCGGCCCCACCAGAGCGGTGGCAGCCATGGGCCTGTGCCACCAGCAGTGTCTTACAACTTACAGCAGGCTACTGTCAGCTGCGCTGCTCAGGACTCAGGACACCTCCCCACACCCACCAAACTCAGAATGTCAACGGTGTCTCTTCGTGACGCTCCCCAGATATCCCCGCACATCCGCCTGGGCGGGTGCACGACGGTCTTCGTCGTGCTGGCTACTGTCGCCTCAGGGCCAAACATCCCGAGGAGCTCTCCCCTTCAACCGATCCTGGAAGCCGCCTTCATCGCACCGGGAGCGAAGGACCTGCTGAAGCAAAAACTTTCAAGAGCATGACGAAGGCATGCTTTGCCAACCCCTGCGGGCCTTGTGGCGGGGCCCGGCTGCTGCAAGGGCACATTGGCCTGAGATTCCGCAGGTGATTGCGAAGCGTGTCAATGCCAAAATGCCAAAAAACAATTCTGCACACGTTTCATGAAATGCCCGGATCCGCGCCAGCTTGGCTGGCAGCTTGGGCTGCATCCACAGCATGTTGCCCTGAAATGCAGGGGCAAGGGTCGTGGTGGTCACAACACAAGAGGGCTCAGGAGCGTGCACAGCACAGGCATGTAACATGGAACAAGCTTTTTGAGCACGCTCGTCGATCTCACCAAGGTCGAAGCTGGAGGAGCCACGGGCACGAACAAGCGCGGGTCCTCCGTCGCACGTGTGACAGGCCGCAACCTTCACCCTCCTTGCCCTCGATACGTGGGTGTCCTTAAGTGGAACGGAGACGGGCGCGGCGGCAGCCATCAGCCTGCACTGTCAGTGTCATCAACTGTCAAGTCGCTTCAGGCTGTTCGATCGTGCCTCGTGAGAAACCGATCCATGCTGTGATCAAGAGAAACAAATGTCAATCGTGTCACGATTCCGGGACATCGACATGCGGGCATGAACGACGGTCTTCGTCGCGGGCATGGCAGCCTCATGTATCATTGATTGGCACATTGCCCAAGCATCGCTGCGCAGCTGACAGGCTTACTGCACAGTCTAAGGCAACAAATACAAGAAATCGCAGATCACGCAAAACAAGTGTCTGTGTCGGGGCCAGGCTGCCTTCATCGCAACGGGAGCGAAGGACCTGCTGTGTTCAAGAGCACGATAGATGAAGTCTTTGTTCAGATCGAACACTAGACCCCAATCGCCGCGACGCTTCTGGCACAGCCTAATCCCCTAAAGGTTCTCCAAGGCCAACGTGCACCATGCGCCACGACTGCGGGCCTTGCAAAGGGGGCCGGCTGCTGCAAGGGCACATTGGCCTCAGACTCCGTCGGCCGTGGGAACTACCGACTACGAAAAGATGAACTCCGAACACCGCATTGGCAGCTCGGTCTGGCGCCCACAGCACCTTCCGCTGACACGTGTACGCCTGAGGAATGTAAAGCCACAGGACTGAGAAGAAAACTCATGGGGCACGCAGCACACTCTTCGATCTCACCGAGGCCGAAACCGGAAGAGCCATGACTGGTAGCCCAACCGCAAACACACCCTACGCTTGCAAAACAACATGAAGGCGTCTCGTGCCATGAGCCCTGCTGCATTGCGCTTCTGAGGACGACTCTTGGGAAGTGCCCATTTATGCGTGCTGAAGCTGTGCTGGCATGCGTTTGTCCATCCAAGCCTTAAGGCTACGGTGTCGACTGTGTTCCTCGTTGTAAAGGCCGGTCGTCTGGCTGAAACTATGGGCCCCAAACCCTAAACCCTAACCCTTAAACCCTAAAGCCTAAACCCTCTGTTTCATGTATCTTTGTATCTGTACATATATGTATATACATGTGTTTTCTATTTATTTATGTATGTATATTTACACATGAACGGGGGCCGTGGCCATTCGCAAAAAAAAACCGTGGCCACTGGCAAAACACCCGTGGCCATTGGCAAACAAAAGCCTGGCCATTGGCAAAAAAAACCGTGGCCATTGGAGAAAAACAGCCGTGGCCATTCAAACTTGACAATGGCCACGGGAAAGTTGCCAATGGCCACGGCTTTTTGCCAACGGCCAATGGCCACGGGTCCACCAATCGGCCATGCGCAAAAAACCCGTGGCCATTGGCAAATAAAACCGTTTGCCAATGGCCACGCCTCCCCCGCCCCACCCCCCGACCCACCCGGCCTCTTCTGGCCCAGGCCCCCTTTCTGGGCTCGAAACGCTTGGTCTGGGGCAGTTGAGGGTTTCGACACCCCACCCCCACCCCCTGTTCTTTCTTATCTTCAGTGGTTTGAGGGGGGGTGGGGGAAAACAAAAAACACGAGGTTAACAAAAATTAGGGCCTTTGGTCAATCCGGACCAATGTCTGGTTCTAGGGTGGGTCGGGGATAGCGCAAAAAGGCAAGCACTCGAATTGCAGTCTGAAGCACACTCATGCGGTTGCATGAGGATGCCACCCGCCACTTTGTTACGGAGCGTTTCGGACCTGTTGGTCATTATACGTCACTCATGCGATTGCACGAGGATGCCACACGCCACCTTGCTCTGGAGGCATCGTCGGCCCTGTTGGCCATTTTGCGTCACCCATGCAGTTGTACGAGGATGCCACCCGCCACGTTGTTACAGAGCCTGTTGGGAAAACAGAAAACATGAGGGTGACAGATTAGGTTTGTCTTTTTTGCTGTTCGTGCCCGAAAACAAGAAATATGAGGTTAACAAAAGTTGGTTGTTTTTGGGCTGTTCGTGCCCGGTACGAGGGTGGGATGGGGGGAAGCAAGAAACACGAGGTTAACAAAGGTAGGCGTCCTTTTTTTGGCTGTTCGTGCCCGAAAACAAGAAACATGAGGTTGTACGAGGAAGCCACTCGCCACTTTGTTGCTCCTGCGACCGAAAACAAAAAACATGAGGTTTAACAATTTGTTGCCCGAAAACTCCAAAGTGATTTTGATTTATTGGTTTACCTTCCCCCCCCCTTTCTTGTTTTGACGCGGTTGCTTTGGATTGGTGCCCCGGTGACCGCGCCTCCCGCGGGCCGATTGAGTGGTTCGAGGGTGGGGTGGACCGCTCCATGACAGAGTGAGGTTGGGGGACAGGGATTGCTGATGAAAAATAGAAATATACACTTTGTATTTCTTAATGGTTTGGGATTCTCTGGGTGGGTGGTTTTTCTAGACTCAAAACAGCGTCTGGCTCTACCAGAGATTGCTCGATACGGAGCCGCTGAACCCTAAACCCGAAACCCGAAACCCTAAACCCTAAACCCTAAACCGCCGCAGCTGCACAGGGTCAGAGAGAAGCCTGCTTACCGATTCGCACTTGCTGAGCCCGGCGGGCTTTTTTTCGGCGCCAAGCGGCGCGCAAGCAATCGAAAACTCAGCCAGGACTGCCGCCGGCGTACTCAAGCTCCAGCACCTTCCAACACGGTCCGCACCTATCTATCCTCTACAAACGCAAGCTCGTGGCGAGCTCGCGGCACACGTGCAACAAAGCCGACTGGCCTGCCATGCGCCTGCCCACCGAGAGCCCGTACATGTTGTACCCAGCCTTCCGGGCTGCTCCAGTTGTGGAGTTCACGCTCGAATGCTCACGGCGCGTCTCCAGCCTGCTTCTGCAGATCCACGTGTCCCTCACGAATGACCTGCACATGGGCACGAGCCGTAGAGTGCAGCATCAACATCGTGAGCACTAGCCATGTGGGATCTGATCTGGACACAACATGGCACAGCTGACCTGAAGTCCTCTGAGTCACCGGCACCTACAAGATCAAGAATCTACAAGGATCAGGGCCCCCCACTGGCAAGTGGCACTGCTCCCATCCGCGGAATCCACCATCCATCACGGCCACTCGCCTGTGGCCGCTGCTCTCACAGGCTGCCAAGAATGGCCACAAGGCATGAACACGCTACGTTGCATCGACACTCCGAATGACTGCAGGAACATGCCATGACTGCCACGACATGCCTCATGGCACAGGCCCGTCAGGATCCCTTCAGGCCCCGGCTGCTTCAGGTCCGCCTGCTTGCGGTACCAATTTGCGCACCTTGCAGCGAAGGCGAGTAGAGATATGCAGAGATGCTCGAGGCGAACGACGATCTTGCAAGCTGACGACATGCCGCGAAACGCCCCATTCATCTCGGCTTCCTGGCTGAGGGCCGCGGTGCAAGGAGTACAGGCAATGGAAGACCTCAGCTCACTGAGCAGGCTGAGTATGGCTGAGTGATGGCTGGCGTTTCGCTCTAAGGCTCCCGGCCACGAGCGTGGCCGCCTGATACTTCCTCACCAGGTCGGGGACCTTGCATGGCAGGTCAACGTAGGATGACATGGCGAACGCGTCAAAGCACATCAAAGCGCCAGATCCGCTAGCTCGGCTACCCGACCCGATTCAGCAAAGGATCCTTGAAGCTGGTGGGCTCATGGATGGCCCCCTGCCGAGCATCGCACGCAGCACCCACCAGCGCCCAGCGGCACCCAGCAGCACCCAGCAGCACTCAGCAGCACCCGCCGACCTCGATGCAGCCAGCTGCGCGATCAGCGTCGCGAACATCGAGGAGCACGCACCTCAAGGGAAGGCTGAGGGCAAGCTTGAGGAGACAAAAGTCGCTAGCGGCGGCATCGAGCGAGATCAAGAGCGGACGCTTCACCGCTACACCATCGGGAGGCGGGCTTCTTGGCAGACATGAGCTCCAAGACCTGCCGGGATGCCATCCCCTCAATCGAGATTACATTTGCACCTATGCGACCTGCAGAACTGATGGGAATTAGGCCCATTAGGCACGCACTTTGTCTTGCGACTTGTGGGGTCTTCGGTTTGAGGGCAGTATGTCGGGCGGTGCGATGTCTGTGCGCATGGGCGCGAGCGCCTCCGCTGGAGTGAGCTTCTCGACGCCCTGGCAAACTGCCACCACAGAAGATGCCAACTGCTGATGCTGTTCCAGTAACTGCTTGAAGTATCAGTAGCATGAGTCGTGACACGGACTGCGCCACTCAACCTCAAGCCCGATTTGAACGCCACCCCCGTGTAGATTCATCAGGCAGAGCCGCAGAGCCCTGAATGTCCTTCTCCAACGGTACGGCGAAGTGCCACCAGCAGCGTCTTACAACGTACAGCTGACTACTGTCAGCTGCGCTGCTCAGGACTCAGGACACCTCCCCACACCCACCGAACTCAGAATGTCAACGGTGTCTCTTCGTGAAACTCCTCAACTCAGAATGTCTGATCGTGACACTGTGACGCTCTCCGGATATCCCCACGTGCCCACCTGGGTGGGTGCACGACGGTCTTCGTCGCGCTGGCTACTGGAGCGAAGGACCTGCTGAAGAAGCAAAAACTTTCCAGAGCATGACAAGGGCAGGCTTTGCCAACCCACGCGGGCCTTGCGGAGGGGCCCGGCTGCTGCAAGGGCACATTGGCCTGAGATTCCGCAGGGTGATTGCGAACCTTGCCCTCAATGCCAAAATGCCAAAAACATTCTGCACACGTTTCATGAAATGCCCGGATCCGCGCCTGCTTGGCTGGCAGCTTGGGCTGCATCCACAGCATGTTGCCCTGAAATGCAGGGGCAAGGGCTGTGGTGGTCACAACACAAGAGGGCTCAGGAGCGTGCACAGCACAGGCATGTAACATGGAACAAGCTTTTGAGCACGCTCGTCGATCTCACCAAGGTCAAAGCTGGAGGAGCCACGGGCACGAACAAGCGCGGGTCCTCCGTCGCACGTGTGACAGGCCGCAACCTTCGCCCTCCTTGCCCTCGATATGTGGGTGTCCTTAAGTGGCACGGAGACGGGCGCGGCGGCAGCCATCAGCCTGCACTGTCAGTGTCATCAACTGTCAAGTCGCTTCAGGCTGTTCGATCGTGCCTCGTGAGGAACCGATCCATGCTGTGATCAAGAAAAACAAATGTCAATCGTGTCTCGCGTGACGATTCCGGGACATCGACATGTGGGCATGCACGACGGTCTTCGTCGCGGGCATGGCAGCCTCATGTGTCATTGATTGGCACATTGCCCTGGCATCGCTGCGCAGCTGACAGGCTTACTGCACAGTCTACGGCAACAAATACAAGAAATCGCAGATCACGCAAAACAAGTGTCTGTGTCGGGGCCAGGCTGCCTTCATCGCAACGGGAGCGAAGGACCTGCTGTGTTCAAGAGCACGATAGATGAAGTCTTTGTTCAGATCGAACACTAGACCCCAATCGCCGCGACGCTTCTGGCACAGCCTAATCCCCTAAAGGTTCTCCAAGGCCAACGTGCACCATGCGCCACGACTGCGGGCCTTGCAAAGGGGGCCGGCTGCTGCAAGGGCACATTGGCCTCAGACTCCGTCGGCCGTGGGAACTACCGACTACGAAAAGATGAACTCGGAACACCGCATTGGCAGCTCGGTCTGGCGCCCACAGCACCTTCCGCTGACACGTGTACGCCTGAGGAATGTAAAGATACACGACTGAGAAGAAAACTCATTTGGCACGCAGCTCTTCGAGCTCACTGAGGCCGAAACCGGAACAGCCATGACTGGTAGCCCAACCCCCGCTAACTCAACCCAACACACCCTACGTTTGCGAAAAACAATGAAGGACTCTCGCGCAATGAGCCCTGCTGCATTGCGCTGCTGAGGACGACTCTTGGGAAGCGCCTATTTATGTGCGCTGAAGCTGTGCTCGCACGCGTTTTGTCCATCCAAGCCTTAAGCCTACGGGGCCGACTGTGCTCCTCGCTGAAAGGCCAGCCGTCGAGCTGAAACCGTGGGCCCTAAACCCTAAACCCTAAACCCTAAACCCTAAACCCTAAACCCTAAACCCTCTCTGTGATATATATATATATATATGTATATATATATATATACATACATATGTATTTGATTTATGTATTTGTTTATAATTATAGTCATGTTGATACTTGTGTTTAATTTTTATATCTATATCCAAATCTATACCTAGATCTATATATATATATTTGCATTTATGAATTTGCTTATGATTTAAACCTTACTGGGTGCCGTGGCCATTGGCAAAAAAGCCACATTGGCAGCTTTCCCGTGGCTACTGGCAAATTTGCCAATGGCCACGGCTTTTTTGCCAATAGCCACGGTTTGTTTTTGCCTTTTCGTTCCAAGTCGCACCAAATTGCCCCCAGCCTTCATGGGGGCCGTGGCCATTGGCAAAGAGTGGCCATTGGCAGCTTTTCCCCCCCCGCCGAATCCCACCCCACCCCTCCCCACCCCCACAGGCCGAAACGGCCTCTTCTAGCCCAGTCCCCCATTCTGGGCTCGAAACCCTGGGCCTGGGGCAGATGAGGGCTTCGACAGCCCACCCCCCCCCTCTTATTCTTTCTGATCTTGAGTGGTTCGAGGGTGGGATGGGGGAAAACAAAAAACATGAGGTTCACGAAATTAGATGTTAAGAAAATCGGCTTTTTAGGGTGGGCTGGGGATTAGCTCGAAGTAGCGAAAAGAGGCAAGCACTCGAACAGCAGTCAGAAGCACACTCATGCGGTTGTATGAGGATGCCCACCCGCCACTCTGTTACGGAGAGTTTCGGGCCTGTTGGTCATTTTACGCCACTCATGCGCTTGTACGAGGATGCCACACGCCATTTTGTTCCGGAGCGCGTTTTACGTCACTCATGCGGTTGTACGAGGATGCCACCCGCCACTTTGTTACGGAGTGTTTCGGGCCTGTTGGGAAAACAGAAAACATGAGATTGACAGATTAGGTTTGTCTTTCTTGCTGTTCGTGCCCGAAAACAAGAAACATGAGGTTAACAAAAGCAAGTTTGTTTTTGGATGTTCGTGCCCGGTACGAGTGTGGTGTGGGGGAAAAAAGAAGCACGAGGTTAACAAAACTGGGTGCATTTTTGTTGGCTGTTCGTGCTCGAAAACACCAGAGTGATTTTGATTTATGCCCCGGTGACCGCGCCTCCCGCGGGGCCGATTGAGTGGCTCGAGGGTGGGATGGATGGCTGCATGACAGAGTGAGGTTGGGGGACAGGGCTTGCTGATGAAAAGTATATTTCTTAATGTGTGGGATTCTCAGGCGGGTGGGGCGACGACCCGAAGCTACTGAACCCTAAACCCTAAACCCTAAAACCCTAAACCGCAAACCGCGGCAGCTGCGCAGGGTCACAGAGAAGCCTGCTTACCGATTCGGACTTGCTGAGCCCGGCGGGCTTTTTGTTCGGCGCCAAGCGGCGCGCAAGCAATCGAAAACTCAGCCACTGCCGCCCGCGTACTCAAGCTCCAGCACCTTCCAACATGGTCCGCAGTTCCTCCTCTACCATCCTATACAGAAGTGGCCAGCTCGCGGCACACGTGCAACAAAGCCGACCGGCCTGCCATGCGCCTGCCCACCGAGAGCCCGTACATGTTGTACCCAGCCTTCCGGGCTGCTCCAGTTGTGGAGTTCACGCTCGAGTGCTCACGGCGCGTCTCCAGCCTGCTTCTGCAGATCCACGTGTCCCTCACGAATGACCTGCACATGGGCACGAGCCGTAGAGTGCAGCATCAACATCGTGAGCACTAGCCATGTGGGATCTGATCTGGACACAACATGGCACAGCTGACCTGAAGTCCTCTGAGTCACCGGCACCTACAAGATCAAGAATCTACAAGGATCAGGGCCCCCCACTGGCAAGTGGCACTGCTCCCATCCGCGGAATCCACCATCCATCACGGCCACTCGCCTATGGCCGCTGCTCTCACAGGCTGCCAAGAATGGCCACAAGGCATGAACACGCTACGTTGCATCGACACTCCGAATGACTGCAGGAACATGCCATGACTGCCACGACATGCCTCATGGCACAGGCCCGTCAGGATCCCTTCAGGCCCCGGCTGCTTCAGGTCCGCCTGCTTGCGGTACCAATTTGCGCACCTTGCAGCGAAGGCGAGTAGAGATATGCAGAGATGCTCGAGGCGAACGACGATCTTGCAAGCTGACGACATGCCGCGAAACGCCCCATTCATCTCGGCTTCCCGGCTGAGGGCCGCGGTGCAAGGAGTACAGGCAATGGAAGACCTCAGCTCACTGAGCAGGCTGAGTATGGCTGAGTGATGGCTGGCGTTTCGCTCTAAGGCTCCCGGCCACGAGCGTGGCCGCCTGATACTTCCTCACCAGGTCGGGGACCTTGCATGGCAGGTCAACATAGGATGACACGGCGAACGCATCAAAGCACATCAAAGCGCCAGATCCGCTAGCTCGGCTACCCGACCCGATTCAGCAAAGGATCCTTGAAGCTGGTGGGCTCATGGATGGCCCCCTGCCGAGCATCGCACGCAGCACCCACCAGCGCCCAGCGGCACCCAGCAGCACCCAGCAGCACTCAGCAGCACCCGCCGACCTCGATGCAGCCAGCTGCGCGATCAGCGTCGCGAACATCGAGGAGCACGCACCTCAAGGGAAGGCTGAGGGCAAGCTTGAGGAGACAAAAGTCGCTAGCGGCGGCATCGAGCGAGATCAAGAGCGGACGCTTCACCGCTACACCATCGGGAGGCGGGCTTCTTGGCAGACATGAGCTCCAAGACCTGCCGGGATGCCATCCCCTCAATCGAGAATGCATGTGCACCTACTATACGACCTGCAGAACTGATGGGAATTAGGCCCATTAGGCACGCACTTTGTCTTGCGACTTGTGGGGTCTTCGGTTTGAGGGCAGTATGTCGGGCGGTGCGATGTCTGTGCGCATGGGCGCGAGCGCCTCCGCTGGAGTGAGCTTCTCGACGCCCTGGCAAACTGCCACCACAGAAGATGCCAACTGCTGATGCTGCTGCCAGTAACTGCTTGAAGTATCAGTAGCATGAGTCGTGACACGGACTGCGCCACTCAAACCTCAAGCCCGATTTGAACGCCACCCCCGTGTAGATTCATCAGGCAGAGCCGCAGAGCTCCAACGGTACGGCGAAGTCCGGCCCCACCAGCGCGGTGGCAGCCATGGGCCTGTGCCACCAGCAGCGTATTGCAGTGTCTGGCAGCGTCGGCCTACATCAGACTACTGTCAGCTGCGCTGCTCAGGACTCAGGACATCTCCCAACACCCACCAAACTCAGAAAGTCAACGGTGTCTCTTCGTGAAACTCCTCAACTCAGAATGTCTGATCGTGACACTGTGACGCTCTCCGGATATCCCCACGTGCCCACCTGGGTGGGTGCACGACGGTCTTCGTCGCGCTGGCTACTGGAGCGAAGGACCTGCTGAAGAAGCAAAAACTTTCCAGAGCATGACAAGGGCAGGCTTTTCTAACCCACGCGGGCCTTGCGGAGGGGCCCGGCTGCTGCAAGGGCACATTGGCCTGAGATTCCGCAGGGTGACTGCGAAGCTTGCCCTCAATGCCAAAATGCCGAAAAAATTCTGCACACGTTTCATGAAATGCCCGGATCCGCGCCTGCTTGGCTGGCAGCTTGGGCTGCATCCACAGCATGTTGCCCTGAAATGCAGGGGCAAGGGCCGTGGTGGTCACAACACAAGAGGGCTCAGGAGCGTGCACAGCACAGGCATGTAACATGGAACAAGCTTTTGAGCACGCTCGTCGATCTCACCAAGGTCAAAGCTGGAGGAGCCACGGGCACGAACAAGCGCGGGTCCTCCGTCGCACATGTGACAGGCCGCAACCTTCGCCCTCCTTGCCCTCGATATGTGGGTGTCCTTAAGTAGCACGGAGACGGGCGCGGCGGCAGCCATCAGCCTGCACTGTCAGTGTCATCAACTGTCAAGTCGCTTCAGGCTGTTCGATCGTGCCTCGTGAGAAACCGATCCATGCTGTGATCAAGAAAAACAAATGTCAATCGTGTCTCGCGTGACGATTCCGGGACATCGACATGCGGGCATGAACGACGGTCTTCGTCGCGGGCATGGCAGCCTCATGTATCATTGATTGGCACATTGCCCAAGCATCGCTGCGCAGCTGACAGGCTTACTGCACAGTCTAAGGCAACAAATACAAGAAATCGCAGATCACGCAAAACAAGTGTCTGTGTCGGGGCCAGGCTGCCTTCATCGCAACGGGAGCGAAGGACCTGCTGTGTTCGAGAGCACGATAGATGAAGTCTTTGTTCAGATCGAACACTAGACCCCAATCGCCGCGACGCTTCTGGCACAGCCTAATCCCCTAAAGGTTCTCCAAGGCCAACGTGCACCATGCGCCACGACTGCGGGCCTTGCAAAGGGGGCCGGCTGCTGCAAGGGCACATTGGCCTCAGACTCCGTCGGCCGTGGGAACTACCGACTACGAAAAGATGAACTCGGAACACCGCATTGGCAGCTCGGTCTGGCGCCCACAGCACCTTCCGCTGACACGTGTACGCCTGAGGAATGTAAAGATACACGACTGAGAAGAAAACTCATTGGGCACGCAGCACACTCTTTGATCTCACTGAGGCCGAAACTGAAAGAGCCATGACTGGTAGCCCAACCGCTAGCTCAATCCAACACACCCTACGTTTGCAAAACAACATGAAGGCGTCTCGTGCAATGAGCCCTGCTGCATTGCGCTGCTGAGGACGACTCTTGGGAAGCGCCTATTTATGTGCGCTGAAGCTGTGCTCGCACGCGTTTTGTCCATCCAAGCCTTAAGCCTACGGGGCCGACTGTGCTCCTCGTTGTCAAGGCCGGTCGTCTGGCTGAAACTATGGGTCCGGTCAGAGAGAAGCCTGCTTACCGATTCGGACTTGCTGAGCCCGGCGGACTTCCTTTTTTGTCGGCGCCAAGCGGCGAAAGCAACCAATCGAAAACTCAGCCACTGCCGCCCGCGTACTCAAGCTCCAGCACCTTCCAACATGGTCCGCAGCTCCTCCTCTACCATCCTATACAAAAGTTGCAAGCTCGCGGCACACGTGCAACAAGCCCACCGGCCTGCCATGCGCCTGCCCACCGAGAGCCCGTACATGTTGTGCCCAGCCTTCCGGACTGCTTCAGTTGTGACAGGAGTTCGCGCAAGTGCTCCAGTCGCGTCTCCGGCCTGCTTCTGCAGATCTACGTGTCCCTCACGAATGACCTGCAGATAGGTGTGAACCCCTGCAGCGCACCACTCACGGACCCAGGCACGGCCAGCATGATGCATAGAGAGGGTTTGAACGTAGCCGCGTGCGCTATCAACGTCACGCGCACTAGCTATCGGCTTTTGGAACGCTTAAGCGGGCACATCTCTGCCCAGAACCCGCTGCTCTGCTAGGAGCCGGAGACGTGGATGTGACGGAGATTGACGGAGGAGCAGAGGTGGGGAAGTAGAAGTGGAAAGAGAACGGGGCCAAGGCAAATAATGGAGACAACTATAGACTATGGACCATAGAAATGTTTGCAATCATCAACTGTTCACAACACTCCGGCTGCATTGACATGCCGCATGGCACAGGCCCTTCAGCCCGCCTGCTGCCGGTACCAATTTGCGCACCTCGCATGAGAGGCGAGCGGATGCTCTATGCTATGCAGATGCTCGATGCAGATGCTCCTATGCAACCGCTGCCCCAAACCACTGGAGGCCGGCCGGAGTGCTTGCCGGCCCCTAATGAGATTTGAGTTTTTCGCAAGAGGCCCCCTTCATCTCAGCTTCCGGCTGAGGCCCACGGTGCAAGGAATAGAGGCAATGGAAGACCTCGGCAGACGGAGTGATAGCTGGCTTTTCGCATGGCTCTGCTTTGGTGTGGGGCTCCCGGCCACGAGCTCGGCCGCCTGATACTTCCTCACCAGCTCGGGGACCTCGCGTGACAGGTCAGCGCACGACGACAAGGCAAAAACGCATTAAGGCGCCAGATCCGCTACCTCCGACTGCCCGGCATCGCACGCGGAGCGTGTCGTGTCAAGCGGTATCATGCGCCCAGCACTCGGCCGCACCTCAACGCGGGCGGCGGCGATCAGCGTCACGAACATCGAGGACGTCGGCTGAGAGAAAAGCAAACACGGGAGCTTGCAGCGGCATCGGGCGATCTTGACCTTGCGGACTGCGCTACTCCCGGGAGGCGGACTTCTTGGTGGCCATGAGCTTAAAGACCTGAGATGAAGGAAGCCTCTGCCACAGGCTTTAGGTCACCTGTTGGGGCAGACAAACTCTTACAGGTGATTGTGATTCACAGAAGAGATCCTGCAGGCACCCAAGAGATCCAGACTTCTGCGCATGCGAGTTTCTCCCCAGCTCGAGCTCCTGCAAGTGCTGCGAAAAAAGAGCGCTGAGACTTTCAACTGGCTGGCGCCCTCCGCACAATGTGCTCGAGGATCAAGGCCTGTTCTAAGGCTTTAGCGGCCGCGATTGGTTGATTTTCCCAGGTGACTAGCTTTCAGTGACATAAGAAATCGGTCCTACACAAGATGCACACGTACTTGCTCAGACCGCAAGATTAAAACAAATCGAGAGAGCACTTTCTTGGAAAGGCCCGACAAGCGAACTAGCGAAACTGAAGCGTGTCTGGCATTTCATGGATGGCGACTTGGAACACCGTTGGTGATGAGGACACAGCTGAGCGGCGACGACCGCAGGCCATCTTGTCGTTCTTCACGGAGACAGGTCGAAACTCTGACTGGAAGGTTGCCTTGAGCTTCACGGCCAGAATCCGCCAGTCTTGGTTTTGGATTGTCTCGTCGAACTTGAGCACATTTAGGGCCCCTCTCGAGTGAGTATTGCACTTGATGATCTCATGGTCGTACTCGTTTCTGCAAAACGTACCGTGCAACTTCGACTGGAGGTAGAACTCAACTGGAGCCCCTGTGGCGACAACGCGGAACTGGGCACGGATGTCTGCTGGCGTTGCCTGGTTGCAAACGATCGTGAACCAACCGTCCACCTGGGCAGCGGGTTCGCAAGCAAAGGATCCGACAAGCGGAGTCTAGTGCAAATCCTTTTCCTGTCTATCACGTACACCTGCACTAGAGCAAGGACTGCAGCTTATCAGTTGATATTGGACGACTGCACCTGGCACCACTTGTTCGTGGCTGTGTTCCTGAGGCTGATTACTGCACCTGGCTGTATGATGTAGCTTCCCTTGACCAGTTGCTTTGGGTGCACACGGGCATCCACAAAATTTGGCGGGGGCCACATACTTTCCCAAAGATGTCTCCAGGACTCGCTCAAGGGATTCTCGAGGGTGCCAGAACTCGGGACCGGGGGGGAAGCGCCAGTGCATGTGACCTGATTGGCGCTTGGCGCATAGCACACTTTGCCAGAGCTCCCACCACCATTTCCATAGCCAACCAGCTCTGCTCCTCGAGATGAGGCGTCAATGATGCCAAACTTCTCCCAACTGTAAGGGTTGTCTCGATTACACATCATGCGAGCGGGTCCCCCACGTCTGCGCACGCTGGAATCTGAACAGTACTTCTGACCTCTGCCTCCAATGAACGTGAAGCGGCCATTTCCCGGGTGCGACGTTATTTTGAACGTTTGCCATGCTTCCACCCAGTCGTTGTCACACGTGATGGATTCCTCGAGGGCACGCCGACGTCGGTGTCCTGGACGATCTGTGCACCACTTGCCACCACCAGTTACGTATTGGGTGAGGGTTTGGGCATACAAGCCGAAGACGGTTCCTGTTGCCGTTGACATTCCCGCAGACATGGCATCGACCTGTCCTGCAGCATTGCCCCGCGTGGCATTGCCCCGCGTGGCATTGCCCCGCGTGGCATTGCCCCGGGCGGCATTGCCTCGTGTCACTTGCAGGGCGGCGGCCGAATCATGGCATTCCTGGCCAGACAGAAGCGAAATCCACAAAGCAACGCAAAGCACGACCAACATTTCGGACTGCTAGATGCGTATCAAAAAGCTAGGACGCTACAAAACTGAATTTGAGCCGGCAGGGATCCACAAAAACACACACTTATGGATTGTAAGTAGTGCAAGTCAAGCATTGTGCAGCTGACAGGAATGTCAGAAAATGCAGCAAATCGCAACAGGTTTTCCCTTCAGAACAGATCATCCAAAACAGTCTCTCTGTCCTTCATCACGGCGGGGCGAAGGACCTGCTGTGTTCGAAAGCATGACACATGCAGTCTTTGTTCAAATCGAACACGAGCACAAGCCCCGCAAAGATTCCTCCACTGTCGAACCTGCAAGGCCAACGTGCACCATACGCCGCGACTGCTTGCCTTGCAAAGGGGGCCGGCTGCTGCAACGGCACATTGGCCTCAGACTCCGTCGGTCGTGGGAACTACCGACTACGAAAGATGAACCGCTGACACGTGTACGCCTGAGGAATGTAAAAACACACGACTGAGAAGAAAACTCATTGGGCACGCAGCACACTCTTTGATCTCACTGAGGCCGAAACTGACAGAGCCATGACTGGTAGCCCAACCGCTAGCTCAATCCAACACACCCTACGTTTGCAAACCAACATGAAGGACTCTCGTGCAATGAGCCCTGCTGCATTGCGCTGCTGAGGACGACTCCTGGGAAGTGCCTATTTATGTGCGCTGAAGCTGTGCTCGCATGCGTTTGTCCATCCAAGCCTTAAGCCTACGGGGTCGACTGTGCTCCTCGTTGTAACGGCCGAAGCCGGGAAGCCTGATTACCGATTCGGACTTGCTGAGCCCGGCGGACTTCCTCTTTTGTCGGCGCCAAGCGGCGAAAGCAACCAATCGAAAACTCAGCCACTGCCGCCCGCGTACTCAAGCTCCAGCACCTTCCAACATTGGTCCGCAGCTCCTCCTCTACCATCCTATACAAAAGTGGCAAGCTCGCGGCACACGTGCAACAAGCCCACCGGCCTGCCATGCGCCTGCCCACCGAGAGCCCGTACATGTTGTACCCAGCCTTCCGGACTGCTGCAGTTGTGACAGGAGTTCGCGCAAGTGCTCCAGTCGCGTCTCCGGCCTGCTTCTGCAGATCTACGTGTCCCTCACGAATGACCTGCAGATAGGTGTGAACCCCGGCAGCGCACCACTTTGTGACGCTTAAGCGGGCACATCTCCGTCGGAAACCAACTGCGATAACTGGTACGGAACGACACAACTGCCCTGTTTCACAAGCATCAGAGCAGAATCAGGCTCCCCACTGGCAAGTGGCACTTCTCCCATCCGCGGAATCCACCATCCAGCACGGCCACTCGCCTTCCCAGAACCCGCTGCTGAGACGGAGACGTGGATGTGACGGGGAAGCTCAGGTGGGGAAGCAGAAGTGGAAGGAGAACGGGGCCAAGGCAAATGGAGACAACTATAGACTATAGACCATAGAAATGTTTGCCGTTGCGAATGGCTGCATTGACTTTAGGCCCTGGCTGCTTGAGGTCCGCCTGCTGGCGGTACCAATTTGCGCACCTCGCATCAGAGGCGAGCGGACGCTCTATGCAGATTCTCGACGCGGATGCTCCGATGAAGCCGCTGCCCCAAGCCACTGGATGAGGCCGGTCTCCCGGAGTGCTTGCCGGCCCCTAATGAGATTTGAGTTTTTCGCAAGAGGCCCCCTTCATCTCAGCTTCCGGCTGAGGCCCACGGTGCAAGGAATAAAGACAATGGAAGACCTCGGCAGACGGAGTGATAGCTGGCTTTTCGCATGGCTCTGCTTTGGTGTGGGGCTCCCGGCCACGAGCTCGGCCGCCTGATACTTCCTCACCAGCTCGGGGACCTCGCGTGACAGGTCAGCCAACACGCATCGGAGCGCCAGATCCGCCAGCTTGGAGGCCGCGCCCGATTCAGCAGGGGGTCCTTGAAGCTTGTCGGCTCATGGATGGCACCCTGCAAACCATCACATGCGAAGCATGTCGTGTCACGAGGTATGATGCACCCACCAGCACTCGGCAGCACCTCAATGCGGCCGGCTGCGCGATCAGCGTCGCGAACATCGAGGAGCACGCACCTCGAGGGAAGACTGAGAGACAACACTGGAGCTTGTGGGCGGCATCGGTCGATCTTGATCTTGCGGATGGCAATGGATGGCACTACTCCCGAGAGGCGGACTTCTTGGCAGCCATGAGCTCAAAGACCTACCGGGCAAGGGGTGTGAAGCTGCACATGGGCAACAGTCGAGGTCACCCTCACCCGACACGCACAGCATGATGATTTGTGTTCATCACTGTTGCTCCGAGAGCTCTGCTCACAAGTCCCTGTCTTCACTCTCTTCCGTTCTCCCCAACAGAATGGATTGACAAGCGCTTACAGGATCTTACAGGGATGCCCTTCGTTCGCCCCTGGTGCTGCGTCGCGTGTGGCAAGGGTTTCATGTCGAGCCAGGCTGTCGGCATGCCCCAGTACATTGCGTCCGGTGCTCTGATGTCGTTGTCATGTGCTTTGCCAACGTCATTCTTCACATGGCAAATGGCCCTTACAACTGCCGCAGGGGTGCACCTCCGCAGGCGTGAGCTTCTCCACACCCTGAGGCTGGCAAAATCACAACACGTCTGCTGCCAGCTAGTGATGCCACTCTGAGCCCTCAATGTCCTTATCCAACGGCACGGCGAAGTCCGGCCCCACCAGCGCGGTGGCAGCCATCGGCCTATCAGCAACATCAGACCACTTTGCCCACACAACCACCAATCTTGATGGTGTGTCGCATGATGATCTGCGCACACCGACCTGGGCGCGTGCACGACGGTCTTCGTCGTGCCCTGCGGTGTCGCCTCAAGATGGGTATTAAAATAGGCAGAACATTGCAACAAGCTCTTCCCCTCAACAGATTCTAGAAACAATCTTTCTATCATTGCCGGACCTTCAATGCAATGGGAGCGAAGGACCTGCATGCCAGATGCAGGCTTCGCTACGGCGAACTCCAGAGATCCCTCCTACAGCTGCTGCGAGCCGAGTGCGCACTACACGTTGCGATTGCAAGCCTTGTGGAGGGGCCCAGCTGCTGCAAGGGCACATTGACCTCAGATACTGTCGGCAAAGGATTGCTCAAAGGTTGACTGTCAAGAGTTTCATATAATCCTGGATCCGCGCCAGCTTAGCAGGCAGCGAAGGGGCCATGACACGAAAGGACTCAGAAGCATGCGCAGCATAGAACATGAGCGCACTCTTTGCCATTCTCACCAAGGTCAAAGCTGGAGGAGTCATGGCATTGAACAAGTGTGATTCCTGGGTCGTCGCATGTGCAGAGGCTGCAACGTTCAAGCCTCCATGCCATCACTGGGTGTCCTTGTGCAGCGGCACGCCGAAGTTTGGCACCTGCACATTGGCAGCCATCAGCCTGGCGGCAACGGCCATCACGCCACAGTCAGGCAATTATTCGACAAGCATTGAGCAGTCTCTCTCGTAAACCCCGGACATTGCGCACATCGACCTGGGCACGACGGTGTTCGTCGCGCCCTGCACTGTGGCCTGAGGCAAAAACTGCTGCAGCACTTCGGACCAGGGAGCGAAGCAAATGTCCCGAGTCCCGAGATCCGAGCGAAGGCATGCACCCGCACATTGTCCTGACATCACTGCGCAATCATGTGCAGTCCTGTACGTAAGAACAGGCAAACAAAACACAAGTGTTCCCGTTCAAAGCGGATCTCTCTGTCGGGGCCGGGCCTTCATCGCAACGGGAGCAAAGGATCTGTGACAGATGCAGGCTTTGCGCAAGATCCAAAACCACAGTGCAAGCACCGTCACAAAAACCCCCTGTAGTTTCCTCGAGCCCAACGTGCACTACACGCGGTGACTGCAGGCCTTGTGGAAGGGCCCAACTGCTGCAGGGGCACCAAGGGCACATTGGCCTCGAATTCAGTTGGCAGGGGATTGCCAACAGTTCACACACGCTTCCTGGATCCGCGCCAGCTTGGCTGGTAGCATGGGTGGCAGGAACAGCACCTCCCACTGAAATGTGCGGACTGAGAATAGCACGATCTTGGAGCGCACGCACACACACACACACACACACCCACAATCTCACCAAGGCAGCAGCAGGCGGAGACATGGGCTGCAGCTGGCAGGCGCTGGCAAGGCCCTAGAAACCCCATTCGTCTCCTTGGGCCGAGGCAGGATGGCATGCCATGGCCGTTGCTTCGTTGAGGAGCTACATGGAGTTACTGCAGGGGGAGGTTTGGGAAAGCTTTCCGGTGCATCCGGCGCGCCTGAGAAGATATTTGAGCAGACCGAGGTCGAGCGAGCGCAACACATGCTGCCGCTCTTGCTCACTTTTTGTCAGCCCACCACCACGGTCCATTCATGCGCTGTTGGCACGAAGGGCGTGAGGAACGTCGAGGCTTTCGTGAGCAGCAGTGCCAGCCCATCTCAGCATGCAAAGGCATAGCCTGACAGGCACACGAAGGTCCTTACACGAAGCCACACCTACCAAGACTACCAAGACAGGCCGAACACCGCAAAATACCCCAAAGGCAGCCCAGGCACATGGCCCCTTCTTGCCCAAGCTTCTTGGTGGGCCCCTGGCCACAAGTATGCCGCGCGACTTGGATGTCTAAAAGTCTAAAAAAACATCAGGGGCCCTGCGCCTGAGCCGCAAGAGCTGCGCCGCTCCTCCAAGGCGCGGGTCGAAGACCGGTCGCTTGAACTCGCTCACCTCTTGAAAGAACTCGACTCTGACATGTTTGGCTTGCAAGGCCTGGGAACCCTGAGAACATCTCAAGGCCACAACTACACCTTTGCATGTCTCCCTGGACCCGAAACCCGACAACATCTGACAACAATACCGCAAGCTCTGAGTGCAGCTTGAGGACCCACCCGCCCGCTGCTCCACGCTGCGAGTCACGCACCACACGAAGTCTGAGCACACCGTCCTCAAATTCGAGGCTTCGGCATCTGTAGGCTTAGGCATTTGTTGGGGCTTCCGGGCTTCGGGTCCGGGTGCCTCGAGCTTAAAGACTTCACTGGGGACCTTCAGAACCCATCACATGCTATCACCAAGGAGTTTCGCCAGGCATCCACCACAGCACGCTCTGAAACCTCCAGCACGGTGCCGGGATTCCTGACTCGAGCACGGGAACGCTTCAGGGATAAGTTCCCCACCCCGCCCCGCCCCAGCCCAGCCCACCCCACCCACCCCAAACCGTAATACATATTGGTCACCCCCCCCCCCAAGATCTACACCCTCCTTGTCTACACTACTCTTCTGCTTGCTTCCACGCACTTGAGTACAAGTAGTGCGCGCCGAAAACACTGTAAATACCGATAACATCGTACTTAAAATTATGTGACCTTCTATACTCCGAAAGCCAAAAAAACCTGGAAGGTATAGCAGTTTTGCTGTGAACACCTCAAGAAACTCGTGTTTTCTGTGATTTTTACTGTTGTCCTAGTAAACAAATACATTCTGAGCGGCACGTGTCAACACTGAGTCTGACGCGGCTTTTTTCAGGATTCCCAGGAAAGGGTCTCTTTCTCTCATACAACAATAACAGCCAATAGTAGGATAATTCCTACCACTAACCATAACAAGATTATCATGCCTACTTTTGTAGTAATCATTGGTTCCGTGGTAAAGTACGTCCGCTGCGTTTCGGGGGTTCTGCAAACTCCAAGTCTTGCTTATCGGGCGGCTTGTGGCGTGTGTCCCAATAGCTGTCCTTCATTGCTCACTCCAAGCAAGTTGAAGATAGCACTTCATACTAAATCGACAAAACCAGTATGTACTTAGTAGTGAATTTCTATGCAATGAATATTGCATTGGTGTGCTTTGAAGAATGTACCAGGTAAGAAAATATGTATTCTTGAGCTTGTCTATGCGAATTCTGCGTTTGAGACAGAATAAAACCTGTACAAGTGGTATTTAATGTGTGTGCGTGAGCATTATAGTCAAATCTAGTACACATAATCGTTGTGCTAAAGTCGTGTTTCTTTAAGAACTCTACGAGACTTGTGCATTGTAAGCTTGTCTATGATGTTTAAGAGTTCTATGTTTCTAGGAGACCTGTGTACTTGCAAGCTTCTCTATGCGAATTGTGTGTTTTAGACATAAGGCTAGGATACTTCACTAGCCAGCCTCTTTCACATGGTAGTAATTCAATTTTTTTTCCCGCACTATGTGTTTAGAAGAGTATTTCCCTGGGCTTGGGACAAGCACTGCTTCTCTAGAAAGAAAACATCTTGTCTCTACAATTGCACTATTTGACTAGATTGCCGAGCACAATCGCTATATTTTGCAATAGATATTCTATGAGTGAACAAAAACTAGGATAGTTCACTCGCCTATTAGTTCAATATTTGCCTAGTACAGGCACTATGCATCTGAAAAAGCACAGCATTTCCCTAGGTTTTGGGCGCGCACTATTTCTCTACAAGAGAAACACAAAATCAGACAAACCAAACACTCACAAACCAAAAAGAACAAAACCAAAAAAAAACAAAAGAACCAAAATAGCCATTTTTCTGAGACTCTTGGAAACATGAAACCAAAAAACAAAAAACAAAAGAAAAACAAAAAAAAAAAAAAAACAAAGAAACCCAAACCAAAAAAAAACAAACCAAAAAAAAAAAAAAAACAAAAAAAAAAAAAAAAACATTATTCCGAGACTCTTGGGCAAATGGAATGAGTACCACGTGACGTCAAGAGTTCGACAATAATGTCTTTTTTGGTGTTTTTGGATTTTTTGGTTTTGGTTTTGTTGTTTTTTTTGGTTTTGGTTTTTTTGGTTTGGGTTCTTTTGGTTTCACCTGTCCGAGAGTCTCAGAATGATGTGTGTGTTTTTTTTGGTTTTGGCTTTTTTGGTTTGGGCTTTTTGGCATCCTGATTTTGGCGTTTTTGACCTTTTTTGGGTTCTGGAAACCTGTAAACGTAGATCTTGGGGGTGTGGCAAAAAAAAACAAAAACCAAAAAAAACAAAAAAAAACAAAACCAAAAAGACCAAAAAAACCAAAAACAAATTATTGTCGAACTCTTGACGTCACGGGGTAATGATTCCCTTTGCCCAAGAGTCTCGGAATAGTGGTTTGTTTTTGTTTTTGTTTTTTTGGTTTTTGTGGTTTTGGTTTTTTTGGTTTGGGTTTTTTTGGTTTGGGTTTTTTTGGTTTTTGTTTTTTGTTTTTCTTTTGTTTTTTGTTTTTTTTGGTTTCATGTTTCCAAGAGTCTCAGAAAAATGGCTATTTTGGTTCTTTTGTTTTTTTTGGTTTTGTTCTTTTTGGTTTGTGAATGTTTGGTTTGTCTGATTTTGTGTTTCTCTTGAAAAAATAGCGCGCGCCCAAAACCTAGGGAAATGCTGTGCTTTTTCAGATGCATAGTGCCTGTACGAGGCAAATATTGAACTAATAGGCGAGTGAACTATCCTAGTTTTTGTTCACTCATAGAATATCTATTGAAATATATAGCGATTGTGCTCGGGCAATCTAGTCAAATATTGCAATTGTAGAGACAAGATGTTTTCTTTCTAGAGAAGCAGTGCTTGTCCCAAGCCCAGGGAAATAGTCTTCTAAACACATAGTGCGGCAAAAAAACTGAATTACTACCATGTGAAAGAGGCTGGCTAGTGAAGTATCCTAGCCTTATGTCTAAAACACACAATTCGCATAGAGAAGCTTGCAAGTACACAGTTCTCCTAGAAACATAGAACTCTTAAACATCATAGACAAGCTTACAATGCACAAGTCTCGTAGAGTTCTTCAAGAAACACGACGTTAGCACAACGATTATGTGTACTAGATTTGACTATAATGCTCACGCACACACATTAAATACCACTTGTACAGCTTTTATTCTGTCTCAAACGCACAATTCGCATAGACAAGCTCAAGAATACATATTTTCTTAGAAACCTACTTGCCTCGTGCAGACAATAGTACTCGGAAATTCCAGTCCTAAAGCCTTTGGAGAATCTCTGGCGAAGTTTGGGCTTTTGGGTTTGCCTGTGTTTCGATACCAATAATGAAGCAACGCTTTTTCCAAGCAAAATGTTGATTAAATAGGCAAATTAAATACTATTGAAACACCTGGTACATTCTTAAAAGCACACCAATGCAATATTCATTGCATAGAAATTCACTGCTAAGTACATACTCGTTTTGTCGATATAGTACGAACTGCTATCTTCAGCTTGCTTGGAGTGAGCAATGAAGGACAGCTATTGGGACACACGCCACAAGCCGCCCGATAAGCAAGACTTGGAGTTTGCAGAACCCCCGAAACGCAGCGGACGTATTTTACCACGGAACCAATGATTACTACAAAAGTAGGCATGATAATCTTGTTATGGTTAGTGGTAGGAATTATCCTACTATTGGCTGTTATTGTTGTATGAGAGAAAGAGACCCTTTCCTGGGAATCCTGAAAAAAGCCGCGTCAGACTCAGTGTTGACACGCGCAGCTCAGAATGTATTTGTTTACTAGGACAACAGTAAAAATCACAGAAAACACGAGTTTCTTGAGGTGTTCACAGCAAAACTGCTATACCTTCCAGGTTTTTTTGGCTTTCGGAGTATAGAAGGTCACATAATTCTAAACCGAAATTCGGTTGTAGATTTATAGACATTTCGCATGCATGATGTGTTACGTAAAATAGTTATAATAGTCCCGGAAATACTCGACAAGTACGATTTTTTCGGTAATTACAGTGTTTTCGGCGCTCACTACTTGTACTCAAGTGCGTGGAAGCAAGCAGAAGAGTAGTGTAGACAAGGAGGGTGTAGATTTTTTTGGGGGGTGACCAATTTTATATATATATATATACATATATATAGATATATATACATATATACATTATATATATACATATATATATATATATACGTGTGTGTGTATTCCATGTATTCTGCACAAAAACCACGAATAATGAACTTTCGATAAACCTACAACCAAGCGTGTGATTGTTGCATTGAAGAACTTGTGTTCGCTTTGTGTGCCGCAGCGTCGGGGATGAGTTCGTCTATTCTTGCATCAGAAGTCTGTGTGTGTGACTGTGCGAGTGTGAGTGTGCGTGTGCGGATGCGGGTGCGGGTGCGTGCACGTGAGCGTGCGCGTGTGCGTGTGCAGGTGAGGGGGTGAGGGTGAGGGTGAGGGTGAGGGTGAGTGTGAGTGTGAGCGTGTGTGTGTGTGTGTGTGTCTGTGTGTGCGTGCGTGCGTGAGTGTGAAGGTGTGTGTGTGTGTGTGTGTGTGTGTGTGTGTCTGTCTGTCTGTGTGTGTCTGTGTGTGTCTGTGTGTGTCTGTGTGTGTCTCTGTGTGTCTCTGTGTGTCTCTGTGTGTCTCTGTGTGTCTCTGTGTGTCTCTGTGTGTCTCTGTGTGTCTCTGCTCTGTCTCTGCTCTGTGTGTCTCTGTGTGTCTCTGTGTGTCTCTGTGTGTCTCTGTGTGTCTCTGTGTGTCTCTGTGTGTCTCTGTGTCTCTCTGTGTGTCTCTGTGTGTCTCTGCGTGTCTCTGCGTGTCTCTGCGTGTCTCTGCGTGTCTCTGCCTGTGTCTGCCTGTGTCTGCCTGTGTCTGCCTGTGTCTGCCTGTGTCTGCCTGTGTCTGCCTGTGTCTGCCTGTGTCTGCCTGTGTCTGCCTGTGTCTGCCTGTGTCTGCCTGTGTCTGTCTGTGTCTGTCTGTGTCTGTCTGTGTCTG